TCAAATCATGAAACCTAAAGTCTGGACGCCAAGCTGGGCCATCCTGACTTTAATGTTATTTCATCTTTGTTGTTGGTATTCAGGCCTGAATATGTGCAATATGTGACACGTGCCCTTGCTATGGAACCTGTAGCTTTCAATTTCCTGTAGGCCTTTATGTTCCACATAAAGGAGAGGATGAAGTTACTTGGGGATTGGATGAGGAACCAAAATGAGAAAGCAGAGTTGAAGATGGTGGTGGTGGTGGTGATGTTAGTGCTGCAGGTGACACTTCCCACAGCAGTGAGGTGTCACTCCACCAGCCCCAGAAAGCCAGGTGCTGGGATGCATGTCACTCCATCACACTTGCTGTGGCTGCACACACAACATCCATGGTGAATCGGGTGACTTTCTGGGAAGAAAGGAATCACTTCTGTTTTTATCCCTGATTATTAAAGTAATTTATAATGTGTGTTCAGTGTAGATACATGCAGAAATTTAGAAAATCTGGAAGAGCATAAATAAGCAAGCAGAACAGATAAAATCAACTCTTAACATTTGAGGTATTTCAATATTTTTTTTCTATATACGTTATGTATCTCATTTTCAAACCAAACCAAACTCACTGCCATCAAGTCGATTCCAAATCATAGTGACCCCCACTGGGTTTCCAAGGCTGTAAATCTTTACAGAACCATACTGCCTCATCTTTCTTCTGCAGAGCAGCTAGTGGTTTTGAACCAATGACCTTTTGGTTAGCAGCCAAATGCCTTAGCCACTACACTGCCAGAGCTCCTTTATGTATCTCATTTAGCACCTATTTTTTTCTACTTAATGTTACTGTGTGAGCAATTCCTTTGTCATTAAACATTTTTTGAAATATTTTCATGGCAGAATTCTATTTCACTCCCTTATTGTGAGAAAGTTAGTATATTCCACATTTGTGCTGACTTTAATGTGATGAACATCCTTGTACATCAATTTCTGATGCTGTACTTAGGATACGTTTCCAGAAGAGGAACCATGGAAGCTAAAGAATGCAAACATTTTTCAAAGTGCTGATTATTGACTGTCACATTGATGTCCAGAGAGGCTGTGTCAGTTATACTTCCACCAGGGCTTCTGGAGGGATCCTTGAGGGGCAAGGAGATTGAAATCTATCGAAGAAGCGAGAAAAAAGCTAAAGTACCTTCTTCTTGGGAAAAACCTGACCCACACACTTGCCTGTCTGTTTATCTCCATAGCAGAAGCCAGTCTTGCTGAAATAACCAATGTGCTCCATACAGTGGAGGCTGCTTTCAGAGAAACATGGAGGAGGGGCCTTGTTCTGTTTTACATTTCTTTAAAAAAAAGTAGCAAAAGGTCTTTAATCCCACCTCAGAGCACTTCAACCCTTCTTTTAAATGTATTCACAATTATAAGGTGTGGGGAGTCCTCTCTCTTTTCTCCAAAGTTAGAAGAAAAGCGTGAGTAGCACAAATGCAGATGGGATCAGTCGTCTGGCCTGGAATGTGTTTGGGAGGAATTCAAGGGAATGAGTCATCCTGCTGCTCTGGGGTTTTGCTGGTCAGCAGGGAGCACACAGTTCCCTCCTCGCCATGGAGTGTGCCTTTATCCTTTTATACTTTGAACATCTACCAAGTCCTGAGATCTGTGCTGGGCACTGAGGAAGTGACTGTGAAGGTCCACTAGGTAGTAAAGGATGTGGTGCTTCAATGCAGAAAGTGCTCTGCCAGCAGTAAGAATAAAGCATCTGAAAAGGTCAGAAGAGAAGAAATGTGATCTATGAGTCAGTATGGGAGATCCTTAAGGGCTTCCCACAGAAGGTGGCATTTAAGCTGTGCTTTAAGAAATGAGTGGAATTAAAACGAGAGGTGCCGATGGAGAGAGCACGGGAAGGGGGACATTCTTAGGTAGAGAAAGCAAAATGGAACACGTAGAGACTCAGCTATACTGTAAAGCCCTTATCCCTTCACCTACTCAATTAGAAGTCGGGGAAATTAGCTGCCTCGTCTTATTTCAGCCCTGTAAGTGCCAATGAAATGATGAAAAGAGGTGATCCTGAGTCAGTGCTAATTGTGACTAACTGGTCACAAACTCCCTGTCAACAGGGGATGAGAAAATTCTGAAGTTATCCCTGGGAGTGAACAATACGGTAGCACCTCCGGTTTCTGCCTGACTCCAGGGCACACCAGCTCATTCCCATCCTTCTCTTACCAAACACCCAGACCAGCCAACCTACTGCAGTGACTAGGACAACATGATCATAAATCATCCTAGAGAACATGACTGCCCTAAGGCCAGGAACTGTGAACAGAAAGAGCCAAACAAAAGCCTGAGGAGCTATGACCACCCTCGTTTCCAGTGCTTGGTTAGGAGAAGTACTTACATGTTTGTTCTTGTCTCATCTATCATCACTTGACATGCTGGCCCAGAAAAGGAAAGTCACACTTGCCTCATGGAAACCAGGACCACTGACTGCCATCCACGTCATGTGTCAGCCAGCGGTACTGAAGCAGGGGGCCTTCTGGTCCACAGGGCACTACATTTTCTTTTGGCTTTAGATAGAGGGAGAACACTCAGAAAAGCCCCATCAGCCCAGCTGTAGAAAATGGAAGGAGGGAAGTATGAGAAACGCAAGAAAAAGAAAAGCAAAAGAGTGAAAGAACAATGACAAGAAAACAGAATTGACTGAGGGGAAAGGAGGTAAAAAAGGAAAGAAATGAAATGAGATACAGGCAAGAGAAGAGAAGGTCTTGCTCTCTTTGACTGGGATGAAGGCTGTACATTGTGTCCAAATACATGGAAGCGCTATTGTTGTTATGTGCCATTGAGTCAGACCCGACTCACAGGGACCCCTCCTTGGGTTACCTAGGCAGTATCACTACTAAAGTAGATTGCCCAACCTTCCTTCCAGGGAGTGGCTGGTGGGTTTGAACTGCAGCCTTCTAGTTAGCAGTCACATGCCTCAGGCACTACGCCACCATAGATCTTAATTAAAAACTGTTGTTAGGTGCCTTCGAGTCGGACCCGACTCACAGCGACCCCTCCTTGGGTTTCCAAGGCAGTATCACTACAGAAGTAGGAATGCCCAACCTTCCTTCTGAGGAGTGGCTGGTGGGTTTGAACCACCAGCCTTCTGGTTAGCAGTCATATGCCTTAGGCACTATCCCACCAGAGCTCCTATGGGAAGTGTAGAGTTCCTTTTTTTTGGTCACCCTTGGCAGGGGTCGTTATTTCTTCTTTTAACTTAGCTGATGTGACATCCTTTAAACAGCGCTGGAACTTGAGAGAGGGCAGCAAGACAACAGACGTAGGAGGAACAGCTTGTGGAAAGAATGGAGAGAGCTGGCGCCCAGAGAGCAGACAGGATACGATGACAGCATCCGCTGTCTAGATTTTTCTAGTTTAGAGAAAGAGGAAAAATCTCCTTCTGAAGTGCAGAGATGCCCTCTGGAGAAATAGTTTTATGTAACAATAGCCTCGGCTTTTTGCAACCTGAGCGATTTAGCTTTCTCTCCTCTTCCCCTCCCGTGTGTGCCAAGATGCGCTCTGTCGTCCACCCAACAGCCCCCAGGTTGCCCTGCTAGGATCTGTACATCTCCACACTGGGGGCTCATTTTAGTTTTGAACAAAGAGCATCTGGACTTTACATGCCACAATTTTAACAGTATATATAACAGGTGAAGCCCTGGCCCACTGAAACCTTTGTGATACCTTTGTTTTCATGCTTTTATATCAGCAGCAGATATAAAAAGTACAAAAATAGGCTTTTTCATGTCAGAGACATATTTAAAAAGGAGCTGTGTAAGAAGTGCTTATGTGATCACATGTTATTGAAACCTTTTTCTTCTAACAGCCACTTCTAACAGCCAATCTGCTGAGCTACGGGTGAATTAGCATACCAACAAATGACCTAGCTATGTTGCTGATTTTTATATTTCTGTTTTTATACTCCACAGTTGGACCTCACGGTTGGATTTTAAAGAGCTGCTAGCACCTTATGAGAAAGTTTGCACATTTGCTTTTGCACTTAAGGTGCCCTCCTGGACCCACACTTGAATGATATGGGTGTTTCTCATTGTTTCGTCCCTTTGAGTTTTCTTAGTGGAATGTATAGTGCCCTCAGGTGCCCATGCCACCCAGTCAGACTCTCAGAGACACTGGCTCTGTTGTGTCTATAGAAAGGAGAAGAACATCCAAGCCCCTTTTCCTCCCGAGACCTCTTTCATGCCGGGGAAGGTGAGGTATGGGGTAAGTGAGACCTTGCTTAGCTGGAAGCTAAGCACCCAAAAGAGCTATGAGGACTTTTAAGACTTCAGCGTGGTCTTCTGTGATTTTGGGAGCCAACCTGTAGAACTATCAGTTAGGTGATAGTTCAAATCAATAGGTGACACGTTGCTTTTGAGTTGTGTTGGCTAAGAATACTGAAAGTACCATAGACTGCCAGAATGCTCCTTGGAAGCAAGAATGTCCAGACTTCGTCTCACTTACGTTGGTCATGTTGTCAGAGTGGACCATTCCCTGGAGAAGGATATCATGCTTGGTAAAGTGGAGGGTCAATGCAAAAGGGGAAGGCCCCCAATGAGATGGACTGACACAGTGACTGTAACGATGGGCTCAGGTATAGCAAGAATTGTAAGGCTGGCACAGGACTGGGCAGTGTTTCACTCTGTTGTACAGAGGGTGGCTATGAGTTGGAGCCAACTCAATTGCACCTAAAAACAACAACAACGGATTCCTGATCTAACATGAATATAAAGGATATCAAAAGACATGGGTCTCCAACAAGAGGTAGCTATTGACTTCCAGGTCCCATGTAAGGTAGGAGAGGTGAAAACACCCACCCAAACATCCTGAAACCAGGAGCCAGTGTTCATGTGGGGTACAGTGTGCCCATCTCAGTTTCAGGAAAGGGAAGCGCCTCACCTGGGCCCCTACATGAGTAGAAGGGACCACCATCTAATGTGGGGGTTGCCCTCTGTGCACGCAGTAATCCCCAGCGAGATGGGTTCTCTCACCTTGTATCGCTTTTTACATCCAGGAACTGGGCAGGCAAAAGGCTTCTCCTCCCCTCCATTCATGCACATGGAGCTGAGGATGGCTTCAGAGCTGATGGCGCTCTCGGTGGTCCAGGACTCATCGCTGTCCGACTCCTCATAGTCCACTTCCTCCTCGTCATACTCACTGCCTGCGGGAGCAGAGCACACAACACCCATCAGAGTCACCTTTTCAGAGGCTAGCTCCAGCCACTCACAGGGCAATAGGACCTGCAGTCATGGCAGCTACTGCTGCCCTTGGGGAGGGCGTCCCAGACACAAAGAGACTGCACATGCTTACTCCTGATGACCTCCCTGAGAAGGCGATTTGCTCATTCCCATGTAAGAGACCAGGTTATTTGTGGCTGGGAAGACTGAGGCTAAAAACAAAAATAACAACAGAACCTCCCTGCACATGTGAGCGAAGCCTGGTGTTCCAGACACTAGAATCTTCTGTCCTGACTTTTATCCTTGACTGGCCTAGTAATGCCAACATCCCAGGGTAAGGGGCTACGTTTTACTGTTATTAGGGATTTCCATTTCAGTGGGAATGAGTTTCAGATCTTCGTCTTTATAGGTTGAGCTGGAAGACCATGAGGACATTTGGAACTCAAAGGGGTTACCCCAAAGTGGAGAGCAACGGGGCAGAAGCCAAGAGCTCTAATGATAAGTTGACAGAAGACAAGTCTGGCTCATGGAGGACAAAACAACTCCCTGCCACACACCGCCAACCCCCCACCCCCCTTTCATTTCTGCACAGCATTTCCCCTCAGGGCAGACTCATCGCACCCACAGCATTCAGCCAGGAGGGGCTTCCCTGAGCTCTGAAAGGTTAAGGGCTCCGCTCAGGATTGAATTAAAAATCAGGCAGCAGGGATGGAGAACCACCGCAACAACCAACTTTTTAATGAGGCCCAAAGCCACTTATTTGGAGCTGTTGTACAATACAGACCTGAAGGACATAATTCTACAGATCATAAACAGTGTAAAATAATATGTTGACAAGTCCTAATGCATTTACAAGCCCCATGGAATAAATAGGAATTATAGCACAACATTAATAAGAATTATATGGTAGCAATTATAGTTGTGAAATTCATCCCCCAGGTGTGAGGCTAAATTGTACCCGGGGCCTGGCCTGGGTGCTCCGTGGGCTCACTCTGCTACATCAATTATTTCAACACCAACTATTGGCACTTTTATTGGGTTTCATTTTAATAGGGATTATTAATAAGATTGTTTGAAGAGCCAGTTGAGCCAGCAACAGGGGTGCCAGCGTTTGGGGCTGAAAGTGAAGAGAATGCAGGAAGGAAGGAAGGGACCTCAAGCTCACAGAGTGCCTATTATGTTTCAGGCACGGTGGGTGCCGGATCTCATTGAATCCAACAGGAACCCTGTTGCGGGAGAGTTATTGTCACTTTTAAACATGTGAGGAAACTGAGCCTGGGGGAGGTTAAAGAGGCGTCACTTTTCCCCAACTTGCTTCCCAGGCCCCAATGCCAGCAGCTCTCCTGAGGCCCTTTGGAGGGGCTGCTCTGCCCTGTATGTCCCCCTTAGCCTCCTTCCAGGTTATAGGTTCTTTCCCATCTCCCACATGGGTGGGATTCAAATCAGTCTGTTCAGAGGCCCGTTAGGAATTCTTGGTGCAGAAAAATAATCTGGCAAAACAAGGCTCTGGAACGAAAAGCAGGTTCCAGCCAAGCCTGCAGTCCTTGGCTGTGGCTCCCGGAGCCAGAGACCCCATTGGGGATGCTCTTTTGAGACAACACAGGGTGCTACACCCGCCTCTCAGTCGGCTGTGAGCAAGTCTCAAAATCTGTTTTTAAGTAGGGCATTGTTTTGGACATTTTACTCTTAAACAAATGCCACATGCTGGTGTCCTTTAAACTGCTTGTTAGGAAAACTATAAATGCTATTTCACAAAGCTTCTCCAGCATGACTTCAGAAAGTAAAAATGACTAATTTTCCCATCTAATTGGACTAATTTATTAACCTGAATACCAAAAACCATGTAACATGTACAACTGGGGGTGGGTAGGGGTGGGAAGCCCTTGACCAACTGAGGTCTTAATGAAGCCTAGCAGAAGACAAAGCTTCAAAATGGTTTTGAATCAAAAGGGCCCAGTGCTGAGGGGCTGATGCTGGATCTGCAATGGCCTGGAGACCACGTGACAATCAGCCCAAGTTGGGGACAATGAAAAGATGTGCTGGACAACAGACATATATTGGCACTGTCCAAGGCAGGCTGGGCCACAAGTACACTCTAGTTACCAGTAGTCCACAAAGTCTTTTAGTGAAACTAATTGCCTCCCCTTGGATGGGGTCTGAGATGGACCTGCTCATACTGAATTCTGTCCTACCATGGAGATGCATAGTGCACAGACCTGGGGTCATGTCTTAGCTCTTATTCATTATGTAACAACCTTCTTGGCCTCTACCTCCTCTACTGTGAAATGGGGGCAAAGCCCTACCTTGTAGATTTAATTTAAGTCTTGGAATTAATATCTAAAAATCACCTGGCATCGGAAGATCTGTCACAAAGAAAATGCTCAGAAAATGGAAGAGAGTGTAAGCAGTATCAATATTATTTCTGTATTTTTAGAAAGGCCTGTGAAACCAAACAAAAAGTAAGAAGTAATTCTGGAAGACTTGAGAATCTCTCCTAGAAAAACTTTGTGAGGGACCCCACACCAGGACAGTCCCCATCTTCGCTGTGGACTTCTTAGGCAGCAGAGCACGTTCCCTCCTCAGTGAGGCTGCAGGGAGCAGGGTGGAGAGTGTGGCTTGGCGACAGAGTTCCCTGCAGGTGCCTGCCACTGACTGGCTGTGTGACATCAGGCAAGTGGCATCACATCTGAGCCACCAACACCTCATCTGGAAAATGAGGCTAATAACAACACCCACCTCTTCAGACTGTTGTCAGTTCTGGTTTTAGAAGAACTTAGAACAATTCCTGGCACAGGGTAAAGACCAAAGGAGTATTTGTTAAATAAATGTATCACAGTTTATTTCACCCTGTGTGTGTGAGGTCTACTGGTGCCCAAGAGAATGATCCCCAAATGCTACCCTTCAATCAAACAGGAGTACTGTTGGTACAGCAGCTGTGAGTAGGGTCAGTTTCTCGCCTTCAGGTTTTGGTTTTTCAGTGTGGGGGTGGGAGGGCTGTGGGTATTCCTGGGAGTCACACATGCTCAGATGTACGTGCCCACTTGGGGCTCACATCTGGAAAACCTGCTGGTAGGGCCCACAGTGTCCTGCAGAAAACATCTGAGGCCCACAAAAGACCTGCTATTCGTCCCCTTTCAAACATCTTTGAATCCTACAAAGAGCGAACCTGAAACTACCATCATGTGCTTAGTTACAAAACCATCTGGTCCAACCCTTCTTTTTGGTTTTATTAATTTCCTCATGTCTTTCCAAAAGACAAAAATAAGCCCAACCCAGTTCACTTTCAATTTCTGCTTCATCTGTTAATTCAAAACTACCTTCAAAAAATTAAAACAAAACCAAGAAACAATGAAAACAAACTTCGGAATGAATGAATTTCCAGCAGCTTCAAGACCTTTGTTAGGCAATTTCCCACCCATTTAAATTCCATCCATTTAGAATCACAGCCGGCTCCCCTAGCAATGGTCTTCAAACTCTTTGATTATATACTCCAATCAGTGAAAGACTGTGAGCAGCCCCCAAAGTATGAATGTGCATGGGAATATATATATGTACTGTGAATGACATACAGTATTAATATATTACATTATAAAATGTACATAAAAATAAGAGATAAAAATAATCATGCATATTAAAAATTGTCAATAAATTCTAATGAGTATTTTAGTAACTAAGTTATTAAAGATTTAACATTTCCTTTTCACACCTTGTCTGAGTGGTGCAAATAGTTAACACACTTGACTGCAAACAGACAGGCAGGCAGCTCGAGGCTCCTGGGAAGAAAGGCCTGGCAATCTACTTCTAAAAAGTCAGCCACTGAAAAAACTCTATGGAAGCAGTTCTACCCTGACACACATGGGCTTGCCATGAGTTAGAATCAACTCAACAACAAGTGGTTTGGTTTCCCACACCTCATGGCCGTCTTGCACATCCCTGCCCTCACCCCTGCCCTGCTGACTGGTGACCACCGCTCTCCAGGATGGTTGGAGGGGGTCAAAGAACAGATCACAGTCCACTTTGAGGTGATTCTCAGATTGAAATGAAGCCCTGAACTATTACAGAAGAAAAGGAGGGCAGTAAGGAACGGATACATTCATTCATCCACTCAGCAAGCATTTATCCAGCACCAACAGTGAGAGGTGCTGTCATCCTTATGGTCCTGTCTGAACCCTATCCCAAGAATCTACGGAGAAGGTGGGAGGGTCCTTGCCAGTAGCTGGAGGGGATAACCAGGAAATAAGACGAGGCCCTTGTTTTGTGCCCTGCCATCAGGAATTCACAATCATTAATTTCTGTATCATTTTCCTCAGTGGAAAAATCATAAGAGGATTTTCTCTTTATAAAAGCAGGAAAAAAACCGCAGTCACTATCAACAGTTATAAGGAGTTGGGGGCAGGGAGACAGGGAGGAAAAGGCTTTGAAGTGTGTGAGTCATAGGATGTACCACTGTACACGTGCACATGTTCATGCCACCAACTGGGCCGAGCTCCGTCACCACCCAAGTCCTGCTGGTGCCTCTGGGCAGCTCACTCTCACTCCACAGAGCTATTTCCAGTCATGTCTGCTTTCCTCAAGCCTCTGACCACACTTCTGTCTGCTCACCCCTTTACTCTTAGCCAATCGCCCAATGCTCTACTTTAACACCTATAGCTTTCTCATCCTCTATACTCATAAACATGAAATAGTGACATACAGATAGATAAAAATAAGTCAACCTTTTCCAGAAACTCAATGAGCCACATTTTTCTTATAAAGTAGATCATTAATATTCATATGAAAGTGATAACTGCAGTGGCAGCAAATTAAAACTCTCGTGGGGTGTCAAATTCTGGCAAATATATTATCAAAGAGTTGCCTTTCTGCCTTACGGATTTATCATTCTAAATTAGCTTTCAATGGTACTGACCCACTTTGTGTGAGCTGAAACAACAGAAGTCAAAGTAAGTTGGCAGCACATGATTACAATGAAAGACATACCAGTGGC